ATTTAAATATAGGCCGCGACTACGCCGTACGTGGTCCATTTTTCGATCACTCTTTTTAGCATTACGACCGGTATCTGCCCAATTACGTGAGTAATGTTGGCTTCTAAGTCCTGAATCGTAGATGGCTTATCGAAGAAGACTTTTGATTTAACATGATCCCACGATCTAGGCGGCCAGTTGACAGGTCCAAAACGCAAAATTATCTGCTCACCAAAATTATTTCTCAATAAAGCTATTGTGTCGTCGACAGCACGGGCTACAATTTCAGCAACAAAAGTCTCTTATCATGGTGCGAGAACGCTTGCCATTGACGGTAACGTTCTGTCCGGCCCTATTTTTAAAAAATACGGACCGATGATTCCACCAGCCCATAAACCACACCAAACAGTGGTCTTCATTACGAGCTGAATGTGGTATCATCAAGTAACGTACACTAACCCTCAAATTTGCGGATGGTATTGGCAATAGTGGTTTCGGAAGATCAATGATACACACCATATATGTTGTTTGAAGTGCACGAAAAACATTTCTCACAGAACGTTGATTTTCGTAATGCAACTGAACAATTTGGAGACGCTGTTGCGGTGTAAGTTTGTCCATGACGAATTGTCAAGCAATACTGAATAAAACTACAATGCCAGTATGAGACCAGTGACAAGGAACGTGAAGAAAAAACCATATGAAAAAAAAAGTCTAAATGAATCACCTATTATTATTGAAAAAAAAATTCTATTATAGAGAGGTTTGGTAATAATAATATGAATAATATAATGAGTAAGTAGCATAGAATTTCAAAAAACACAAAGGCGAATAATACGATAAAGGCAAAATATGCAAAAAAGGTAATTTACCTATATTCCGAGCTTTATTAATAATTTTTATAATTAGAAATGAATTTTTTTCCCCTTTTCTTTTCACCTTCATCTCCCGTACCACGACCACGTCAGTCCGTACGCACGGACCACGGAACTAATTTGAAGTTGGCGGAAGGATACATTTGTCATAGAGTCCCCAGTGGGCCATGATCGGGTCGGATGAAGTTATGAGAGTCAGAGTGCACTAGATCACTTTTCGCCGAAGCCGGCGAAGGAAATGGGGGGGCTATAGAAAGGGGGAAAGGGGGGACGAGATCCCGGCCACGGCGGATATCTCTCGCCGATGACAGGGGCTTATGATGGGCCAGCGCTAAATTTTTTCCGGGATTTCTCCGCAAAGGGACGTATCGAGATTGATTTCGGAGAAGATTTAGTGGGTAGTAACGGTTTTTAATGATGCGGATAATGTTAACAGAGCTGCGGGATTTAAATAATACGAAAATCTACCGTTTTAACTTGGTACAGTTGAAGTTTTGAATCATATTATTGACATTATCATTAATAACATAAATATCTAAATAATATTATATAATGAATGTAATTTTTTAAATTGATAATAGTAGTTATTAATAACAGATAATTCTGTACTTAATTCAACTAAAAATTACCCAGTTGAAACTTGATTTTGAGCCAAGCACGTGGAAATTTTAGTTTGAGTATTTATTAAGAATTTTTGTGCTTTAAACTGAAAGAAGAGAGCTTCAATTTTAAAATAAATTAGACAGTGATCGTGGATATATTTTGTGTAATTTAAATGATTACAGTTGCGGACCTATCCCTGTTAATGGGATTCCTGCTAATGCCTACTAATAATGCATAACCGAAACGAACGATGAATAATGAAAGAACTATAATTTTTTTTACTGACATTCAGTGAGGACATATAGGTTGGAATAAATTCGATATTTTTCTGTCTAACAGTATTTTAACAAAATACTTAACAGGTCAGTTTATATTTTAAATTGCAATTGGCTGTACTAATGACATTACAACTTTTGCGTACATGACGTCATAGATTTTTTAAATTTTTTACTTAATTTTGAATTTGAGATTAATGTAATACTTATAGTAAAAAGTCTTTGGTTTGTGAATTAGAGATAAAGTTATATAATAAATTTAACATCGATGTACTTTCCAACCCTCTTCGAGGCTTGTATGCGAAAATGGGGCACCTAAATCGGTCACTATCTGACGGTCTATATGTTCATTTTCATTATGAAAGAATAATGATGTGAAACGTACTCTTAGGTTTCATGTTTATATTTTTAAAATTATTTTTTTTCATACCTCTGTCACTAGGTACCAGTCTTAAACGATGTAGGCTCCCAAATGAGAGAGACAGACAGTCAGCAATAAACTTATAAATCGCATTTTATAGCTTTATGGCTTTCCTCGCGGAAACTAAATAGAGTGAGAGGGCTCCGTGTTTAACAAAGATATTCAAATCAGTTTTATATACTCCGGGACGCTTGTTTGCATTTCATATTCATCATTGTTCCGGAAAATTCGACCGGATTTGGGTCAAAACGATTTTTCACTGTTTTTTGTGTCTTTCTCTTTTCTCCTTGTTTACGGGGGCTGATTAAAAAGTTTATTGGTAGCAGCGCTAAATTATTATTTACAAAGTCATGGACTCAATGACGTATGGTAATAGTTCTGTATTCTTAAGTTCTTAAATATCTACTTTCAATTGTTTATATATGCTTAGAACATCAGTGTACAACCATTGATAAAACTTTGTTTACGACATAAACTTGGCTCAGAATGAAGTTGTAATTACTTTTTTGGCCTCAACATTAGTGCGTTTGTTAGCTAATTGTCAAATCAACTAAATGCGGCATGTGGAAAAAATTCATATATCTTTGTGTATATTTGTGTTTTTATATTTTATGATAATTTTTACCTGTAGGCATTTAGAACGCTCTCAGAATATGATGTACTTGCTGGGTACATATCTTTTAGAAACTTCTAAGAATGTCCTAACAGAAATTCAACAGAAAATTGGAAGCTTTGGAAAGCCCGCTTCCAAAATTATCTAATAGCTTCTGAAATCATAAAAAAGGATGAGAAAACCCAATGTGCTCAACTTCTGCACTTTATAGGTGATGATGGGTTTAAAATATACTCCACATTTAAATTCGAAGAAGATCAAAAAGACAAACTAAAAAAACTCGTAACGAAATTCGAACATTTTCTGGGAAAAGAAAACCTGATTTATGAAAGGTATGAATTCTTCAGGTATAGACAAATGCTAGGTCTAACTCTGATGAAACATTACAACATTTAAAAAATGTAATTTTAGATGGTTGGCCTAATACTATAAAAAAAATTCCTGACAGTTTAAAACAATACTGAAAAAAAAATTCCTGGCAGTTTAAAACAATACTGGAAATTCAAAAGTGACTTAACTGTAGCAGAAAACTTAATTTTTAAAAATAATTTGTTAGTTGTTCGTAGATCATTATAAAAAGAAATGCTAGATAGGATACATTATAATCACTTAGGTATCAATAAGTGTGTTAAGCTAGCACAAGAGGCAAGTTTTTGGCCTACCATGTTAAATGAAATAAAGCAAACAATTCAAAATTGTGATCTGTGCATAAAATACTCAAATTCTCAATCATCTGAACCATTAAATAACCACGAGATACCAAACCTACCTTGGTGTAAAGTAGGATGTGATTTATTCGAATTAAGAGGTCATAAACACTTACTAGTGACTGACTATTACTCTAAATATGCTGAAATAAAGAAACTAGTTAGTAATACGACTAGTACTACAGTGATAGAATTTCTAGAAGTCCCTTTTTGCAAGACATGGTATACCACATACCTTAATTTATGATGGGGGCCACAATTCAATTCATGTGAATTTAAAAAAATTACTTAGGCATGGGAGTTTGACCACATTATATCCTCGCCTTCATATGCCCAATCAAATGATCTAGCAGAAAGAAATATTAAGACCGCCAAAAACATGTTTAAAAAAGTTTTAGATGAAAAAAGGGACATATACCTTGCTTTAATGTTTTATCGTAATATGGTTATTGATGGTACTCACTCACCCGCTGAATTATTAATGTCCCTCAAACTTAGAACAACAACAACAACAACAACAAGCTTATCACAACAACAATAACAACAACAATAATAACAACAACAATAACAACAACAACAAAAACAACAACAACAACAATTAAAACCCAAGTCTAAGTGGTTGTCAGGTATTATTTTAAAACAAATAAGGGACCGAACATATCAAATCAAAATAAAATATGGTTCAATACTGATACGCAATAGAAAATTTATAAAACCTAAATTATATAATCAGATCGAAACAAAATTGAATCATGTTCCAATACAAACTGAAATTGAAGAAAGGGAATTAGACAGTAGAAAATACTTTATAGAATTAGATTTTGAAGAAGATAATGAAGAGGAAGAACAGAATGATGTCAATGAAGAAAGTGACAATGCAGAAAGTGACAGTGCCGAATATGAAACAAGTTAATACCGTAAACGCACAGAGTCATCTGAGGAGACTTATGTAAATCGACCAACAACTACTTTCTCAGGTCGTATTGTAAAGGCTCCTGAGAGGCTGAATCTGTTAAAGGAGGATGTTAAGTAGTAAAAGGCCAGTAGCAACACCGCCTGCGAGCGAACAGTTGACATTGATATGAATTGTATAATGACAGTTATTAATAAATGGCTGAAGTAGAACCAAGCTCTTTTTATTTTTATATTACTCAAGTGACTGGTGATTATATCAATTACACAATCACTCATCATATACTTTTTGGATTATATTTTAAGACACGTGCTCAATATATTTTTTTTAAAGTACGTGCTTAGTAAATAATTTTAAAAATTATATACCGTTGACTCATTTTTGCCAGTAAATGGAGGGTCTTAAGATATTGGTATATGCAAATATTTTGCAGAATTTATAATTTATGCAATGTTTTTATAAAACACCTTGTATCTAGACTATTGTTTACAGAAAATACAAATATTTACGATGCAAAGTTCATCAAGGTACTAATATAATTAGGTCAATGTCTGCATCTTTATGACTAAATAATTATTTTTAAGAAAACATATAAATTCTTACTCATTTTACAGATTACCAATCAGAATGGATAAGTAATAGTCTAGTTAATATAATGGTGCATAATTATTGTAATGGTGAAGAACTTTCCCGTTTTACAATATGGTTTGGGAAGTTTTGAGGTTTGGTTTTTTTATACGAGTTCAGGATTATATCAAAATATCTAAATGACAGGTATGTTTAAAATTATTTATTATATTTTTACAGTTTGCTTCGTGTTCTAAAAAATACTTTGAACTTAATATACTAAAAGATGGGAATTTTTTGTAATTATTAATAGTACTGTTCTTATCTTTGAACTATAACTATACAGGGTGTACCAAAAAAACTCCCAAGCCCAATATTTTGAAAAGAAATAGAAATATTATAATTCTGTAAGAGTCAGTTTTAAAAAAACTGCAGCTTTGGGAGGATCTTTCAAATGTAACATCTTGTTAGAAAATGCATTTTTAAGCAGATTTTGTTTAATGAATGAATTCGATAAATTTAACCATTTTAGATATGTATGTTTAACATTGCTTTGTCCAAACAATTAAAATCATACTAACTCATATTTTTGTAGTTTATTGAAAGCAATCCTGCTTTTAACAAAAGTGGCAGAACTGAGGCTCTCTTATAGCTCCGAAAATTTGCTTTTTTGAAAATCTATTCTTCACAAAATATCTGACCTGGATTTTTTTATTGATACACTCTGTATAGATTAAAATTACAAAAAAGGTAATTAACACACTTTTCCAATTACTAATTATGTAGTTCTCTGTTGTTACAGATATAATATGGGAAACCGACTTAATTATCACATCTTAATCACTGTTTAACCGCTACACCTGAAATTATCAGCAGATTTTGAATAATTTTTATTTCATTACAGTTGTAACCATGAATGTGAACAGTATAACCTTTGGAATTTTATTAATTTTGTGTTTTGGTTTTACACACAGTGCTACAAAGGCGGGTAAGTTCATATTAACTCCCATTTTCTTGATGTTTCAATTTTATTTTCAGGCGCATTAACGCTTCAAACATTCTATAAAATATTATGTGTTAAAAAATTATATATTATTCCTTTTTTTTGCCCTTCAATTAGATTTGACTCGATAAGTTTGTTGTTTACGAAAATACCAAATATTTCAATTTATTTTCTGTTTAAATAAGCAAAAAAAAATAAAAATTCTGATATACAGGGTACTATTTTGAATGGAAAAAAAAGTTGTTAATTTCTTAATTCTACATTTCTTCTTTAATTTATAAGCTCTTTGGCACGATACTAGACTAAGATTATATATTGTAGTAAATATTAAAATAATATGCAGTATGGTTTGTAAATTATGAATAATTGAAGAAACGAGTAACAATGGATTAACGATCCTATATCATAGTCGCATTAAATATATGTGATTTAGGACCTATCTAATAACACATTTAATATTGTGATGTTTGTTTATTTTCAAACAACAGTTTATTTATTAATAATTTATTTAAACACTTATTTATTTTATAACATAACTATTCTAATTTATATATACTTCGAATGTCTTTAAACTGATCACTATTTGTATTCACCACTGTCTATCTACTAATTACTATTTATCTTCACTGTCCATATAACTACTAACTCTGATGGCTCATCGACCAATATTTATATACAAATTGGTGATCTAGAATGTTCCTCCACCAAAATTACCAGAATGTTCCAGAAACGTTATTACGTTATATTTAGACTAGAAATAGTATCTCGTTGACTCTGGAATGTTCGCGAAAGTGTCTCCACCATAGTCGTCACATAGGTTTGGTCTTAAGGGGTTTAATTATGTATAATAATCGGACAGATTGAGCCTCAAAGGCCAAATAATACAGAGAGGGACTTGGAGTATTAGAGCATGACTGAATAATGAAATGGCTCACATTACAATATAAAAAAAGGCATTTACAAAAAAGTGATAATACAAAAAAAATTTGTATATTAGGATTAAAACTTTTAAATTTATATCAAGAAAACCTAGATAACAGATGACTTTTTAAACATTGTCCCGATGATGTTTCTATTTTTTAGCAATTTCTTTTAAATTTAACATTTTTTAATTAAATCTACATTTTTTAGGATGTACTCTAAATGTGCTTGGAAATGCAAACGAAAAATACATGCCCGTTATGTTGAACAACAAATCACATGAATATACCCTTATAGTACCACATCAAGGCCAAATTCATCTAAAACGCGGTGAAGGCATCACATTCTTGTGTCCCGAAAGGAATTTTTTAGTACCAAGTAAGTCAAAAGTATATTTTAGTAACGAAAAGGTATCTGTTTGTATCTGAAACGTATGTAGGGTGGGTTACCCCATGGCACTTAGGCCTCATTGAGCCCATTGTGCATCCTCCTGAGATGATAAGCACCTCCTGGCTCGTGAGCCAGCCTACAGATTTCATGTCGCAACGTCGCCAAGAGGTGCTTCTCCCTCATTGGCCGGTGTTAGCCGATACTCGCTCATCACAAATCTTCTAATAAATGAGAGCGTCGAACAATCGTAAAGGATATGCTCGATCGTCTCATCTTCTTGTTTGCACCCTCTGCAGAGTGCGTACTCTGTCAGCCCCATGATATGGAGATGTTTCCGTACTTGGCAATGACCAGTCATAATGCCTGTGACTAGGCGCAGATTCTGTCTAGTCATAGTCAAGTATTTGTTTGCTGCAGTGTTGTTATGATAACTTAAGAGCTCCCTGGCGACTCTGCAGTTTCTTGTTTCATCTCATCTTTTCTTGAATTTCACAAGGGAATGTTCTTTAAGTAGGTCTGTCACTACTTATTTTGTTAAGCCAATAGAAGGGCCAGGTCCAAAAAGTATTTGGTTGGCTGCTTTCTTGGCTAGTGAATTAGAAAGACGGTTACTTTTCGATGTGGCGTGACCTCTGATCCATCTTAAGGTGACCATATTGTTGATGGATACTTCGGCCAAAGCTTCGTGACATTCTAGTACTAACCCTAGCATAGTTTTTTTATGATTTCCTTCTCGATGTTTTTTGGTTTTTATGTTTAATGTCACGTTTCAATTGATGGTGGTTTTAATTCCTTTTTTGTTAAGCGTTAGTCTTTTTTTGTTCTTTAATGAACGGTTTTGAAAAACATCGATGTTTACAGACACATCGATGTATGGAAAAACAAACATCGGTATTTAAAAAAATCGATATTTTCTTTACCGATTTTTTTACAATATCGATAGTCTATATTTGATGTATCAATTGATGTCAACATCGATGTTTTAAAAAATTTGCGCATCCCTAAAGCCACTTCGCCGGAGATGTGGCGTTTTCGAAATAAAGTGCACACATGTGATGAGTCAGCCGCTATTGGTGGCAATTTAGTTCAGTCTCAGTTGAATGTGATTACTATGATTAGGTTTGTGCATTGTTTATACAAAATGAGTAGCTCTGAAGATGAAAGTAGTGCAGTTATTGAAAATGAACAAAGAAAACGAAAGAAAGGCGTGATTAATCGTGCCCACTATAAAAGCTCACTATAAAAGTCCACTATAAAAGACATTTTAATCATGTCGGAAAAAAGGATTTGGCGCAAAAAACTGGAATAAACTGTAGTTGTGGCAAAAAATGTTGTAAACAGTATTCAGAAATCGACAGACGTGCATTGTTAACAACGTTACATGATTTTGGTAACAAAAACTCACAAGATTCCTATTTACAAAGTCTGATAGAAGTAGCTCCCATTAAGAAAACCAGAAAATCTCAAAATGCCTTTAAGCGTATAGAGAGACCTAATAATTTTTTGTTTAATACTTGTATAAACGGAGTACTTCAGCATGTATGCAAGAAAGCATATTTGTATTTATATGGTGTTAGCGAAAAGCATGTTAGACGATTATGCCATCTACTAACGTCTGGAACCACTCCAAGAGATAATAGAAGTAAATCTATTAAATCTAGGAATAATTTAGTAGCAGCAGAGGTGTGCTTTCAAATAAATAAACACATGAAGTTGTTCGATGCTAATGTAGTGAAAAAGTATTTACCTGCTACGTTGGATGTTAAACAAATGCATAAACTCTTTATCGACAAATTTTCTGACTCTAAAGTGAAATATAGTTTTTATTTAAAGTACTTTCATGAAAATTTTACATATTCTTTTAGTCGTCCAAGTTGATGTGTGTTCTGCCTGTGAAGACTTGGCCAAAAAATTAAAAGCACGACCCTCAATGATACTGCAAAACGAGTTGCTGTTGCCAAACTCATGGTTCATAAAAACAAAGCTAATAAATTTTATAAAAAAATAGAACAGTTTAAAAAGTTCTCTTCAGAGACTGACCAAATACTGGAAATCACAATGGATTACAGGCAAAATTTACCAATACCGGACATACCTGTGCAAGAAATATTTTTATTACCGACAGTTATGGGTTTTTGAGTTCAGTATTCATAACTTAAAAACGGGAGAAGCTAAATTTTATTTGTATCATGAGGACGAGGCTTACAAAGGACCCAACAGTAGCGTAGCCAGCCTTGCGGGGCGTGGATGTAACATTTAAAGGGGCGCTTTATATAAATAAGAATAATCGAGTTAAGACAGATCATAATAATCTAAATAATAAACAAAAATAAATAGAATTTATAACATTTAAAAAAATACGGACAAAAACAATTCTTCTACTCCTCATGGTCTTAAATTTGTCTATTACAGATTGAAAATCAATATTAGACGCATGGTCCCTATCAATACTCAGTAATGCTATTTTTGTCAATATGTCCTCAGACAATAACATGGTCGACCTATTATAAGATTTAATATTTCTTAGTCTATTAAAACATCTTTTGCCTGTTGCAGTGTTTGTAGCAATTGTTGAAGAAATTTGGTTTTGGTATACCTATTTTGCACAAATTAGGAAAAACCGATTCCAGTTTTTTGGAAATTAAGAAAAGATATATTTCTTTAGATTTTATCCTATATTTCTTATTTATTTGAGTTAATAGACTACAAAACGATTTGTATTCATCAACCATTTACGGTTGGATAGAAGCGCCCCCTGGCCCCCACCTGTCTACGGCACTGCCAATGAAGTGTGTACTTTCTTACAACATTATTTTGAGCATGAAGTTTCAGAGAATGTTAAAAAGTTCATATATTTTCAGATGGTTGCGCGGGTCAAAACAAGAACCACACAGTAGCATTCTCGGGAAGATTCAATAAAATTGTACATTATTTTCCAATCAGGGGCCACTCATTTCTACCGTGCGACAGAGACTTTGGGGTAGCAAAAAGGCTTATTCGCAAGCAGAACCGCATTTTTCTTCTTTAGTTAATAGAACAATCTTTAAGTAAATCTCTGTTGTCAATAGAAAGGGTCCATAATGAAAACATTCTGGACTTCAAGAAATGGTGGCCCTAGTATTACAAGAAAATCGTACTATCTATTGACTCCTATCAGAAAAAAATCTAAGATGAGAAAATAACTTTCCAAATTTCGCAGTAAAATTACGTTCATTTATTAATGGGCTCATGTTCCATGAATTTTTTAAACCATCTGGAGTGTGTCCTAATTTACCATCAGAGCCTGCTTACTCAGGAAAAATTCCTATTAGTTTCAAAAAAATGGACAATATTAAGAAACTTGTCCAGTATGTACCAGACGATAAAAAGTTTTTTACAATGAACTGATTTTATGGCCTACTACGAATCAAGATGAATCACCCAAAGAAGACTTTTAAATATTTGATAACTTTAAACATGTTTTTTGTTGTCATCTAATACATTATTCATTAGTAATGCTAGTTTTTTTATTAGCCATAAAATCATCAATGTATGATTGGAAAAGGCCACAACTCCTAAAACGAAATAATTTTTTCAGTGTACTTAATTTGATTTTTTTTTTTTTTCGTTAATGAAACTTCATTTTGCATTGCATTTTGACGCTTTATTCGGAAAACAAAAGCAAATCCTCATGAATTCCAATATGAAACATTTTTTTATCTCCTGAAAAATTAACATTTTTGGAGTTGTGGCCTTTTCGAAATAACCGATTTAATTAAGATAATTTACAGTGTGACTCACTCAAGACATGAGCATCCAAACATATACCCCGTCAAGAATTGACTACATCACTGACTATACTATATTCTAAATGGTAACACGCTGGAAACAGCTAGGTTTTCTAGTGAAACAGAATAAAAATGAGTTTTGTAGTACTTTTAATAACAGTGTTTCCACTTTTTAAAATATATCTAAAATTTAGGTAAAATGTACACTCCAATAATAGTGCGTTTTCAAACTAAAAAATGTTCTTCCAACTTTTTTGTTAACAAATAATTTGTATTTTTTATATTTTACAGATAATTAAATAAAATGTACAATAATAATTATTTTTCAGCTCATTCTAATTACACATACGCCACCTGTGTACAAGGAACTAACCTAAAAATCTTCAGACAAACCTACGATTTTGGCGACATTTTATGCAGCAAACCTATACGGGGGCAAGTTCAAAGGACGAAAGAAAGATGCGCCAATAGCAGAGGCGTTATCATTAATATCGGTTACAGAGTCACTCCCAGATATTTTAAAACGTTGATAACAGTTTGCTATAATGATAACGAAGGAATTAGTTTGTATTCAGAGCATACGATACATGGCGAGGAAGTTGCTTGTGAGTATTATATTTTTGCACTCTTATTAGTTCATTAAAAATAAACATGTCAGCTATTGCACGCTTTCCAATACGTTTTGTGAATGTCAAAATGAAAACTGTATGAACAAGAAATCAGTAATATCAATGTTGCTAGTTTAATTAGCCCGGTCGTACAATCAATGCTCAATGCATGTTGTGGGAATTAGTTAGTTAATATTTATTCAGTGTGATTATTAAACAAAAAAGCACTTGTGTGGATTAAATCACACCAATTCTGTTTCTAATAATTTAAATTTAAGAGAACCAGAACCTCAAATATTTAAACTACACTCCGTTCATTATTTATGACATAATTAAAAATAAACCTAAATTTTAAACTGCCATATATTTGTTAAATATGCATGTATTTCATCGCGCGTTTTGTAGTTGGATAGCTTTTTTCTTCATTTCTTAGAAACCAAGCCTTTATTTTGCCATTTGCTAATATTATACAGGGCATTTTACAAAGTGTGCACCCATGTAAAATTCACAAAATTTTAATTTGGGATTTGGGAAGTATGAGCCTGTAAAAATTTAAATTTTTTAGACCGTTGGTTACAGCTTCATTTTAAGTAGCTCCTGTATCAGTTTCATTTCAGTGCGGTGCGTGATAAATAAAAAATACTCTAATTTTTAGTACTTTTTCTGCCATAAGGACTTTTAATTATCAATGATAGTAAAGCTATAGTTAATGTAAGTCATTTATATAAGGTGATTCAAAAGTACTCAAGCTTAAATTTAAAGATTTTTATAATTTTTTTTATTGAGGATTTACTTTGACGTAATTTAGTGAGAGTGACAGTATAGTCATTTTAGTTTTCTGTTAAGTATACATCTATTGATTAGTCAGGTTTTCATTTGCCTACGGTTTTAAAATTATTACCCCAGAAAACTGTGCCTACGCTAGAGGACTTTTTGAACAGGCTTGTTCGCAGAGCGTGTTGGACGAATTATAGGAAAAACTCAAGGGGTTATTTCCAAAATTTTAAAAAGATATCGTAAAACTGGATCCAATCAAAGTAGAGCAGGTCAGGACCGGCATAGAAAAACTACTCCTAACCAGGATCGTTTCCTAACTCTGTTGTGTCTCAGAGAACTATTTACAAGCACAACAAAGTTACAGGCGCGTTTGGCCAATGTACATAATGTAAGAGTGTGCAAACAGTTCTTAAACAATTAAAAGAAGCCAGCTACAACCCTACGAGGCAGCAATTGGACCAAAGTTAGAGAGACACCACAGGATTTAAAGACTCCAGTTTGCTCGGGAGCATTTGCCGTGGGGGGAATGGTCTAACGTTTTATTTAACGATAAATCCCGGTTTGCCTTTATATTTATGATAGATGCGTAAAAGTGTATGTAAGACCTGGCGAACGGTATGCACAATGCAATTTTAACGGGCGTGTTAGTTACGGAGGGGGTTCGGTAATGGTTTGGAGGTATTTCATTAGTGGTAAAAACGGACCTAGCTTTTGTAAAACGTTTAACGGCTGACCGATACATTGCGGAAATTTTGCAAGAGCATGTCGTACCATTTGCTCCATTTATTAGGGAAGACTTCCTGTTTATGCACGATAATGCACGACCGCATATGCCAAGAGTAAGGGAGTATTTAGATGAAAATGATATTGTCGTAATCGATTGGCCAGCCCGAAGCCCAGATATTAACCCCATTGAGCATTTGTGGGATAAAATGGGTGTTGAGCTTCGTGAGGCACCTAATCCGCCAGAAACGTTGGAGCAAGTACAATGGGCTCTACAGCGTATATGGAATAATATTGACCTTATGTTTATACGGAATTTAATACTTAGCATGCCGAATCGCTGCCAGGCTGTTATTGATGCTCGAGGAGGAAACACCCGTTATTAATTTTTTGTTTATAAATTTAGTTTTGTATTTTCGTCTTTGTTTTTTATCCCCAATAACCCAATAAAACAAATTATAAAAAATCTTTAAATTTAAGCTTGAGTACTTTTGAATCACCTTGTATAAATGACTTACATTAACTATAGCTTTACTACCCTTGATAATTAAAAGTCCTTATGGCAAAGAAAGCACTAAAAATTAGAGTGGTTTTGTCTAAACAAAGATTTTTGAAAAATAATATTTTTCATTTATCACGCACGGCACTGAGATGAAACTGATACAGGAGCTACTCAAAGAAAAGCTATAACCAACGGTCCAAAAAATTTCAATTTTTACACGCTCGTACTTCCCAAATCTCAAGTTAAAATTTTGTGAATTTTACATGGGTGCACACTTTGTAAAATGCCCTGTATAATATGGACAAATGGCAAAATAAAGGCTTGGTTTATAAGGGACGAAGAAAAAAGCTATCCAACTCCAAAACCCTTGATGCAATACATGCATTTTTAACAAATATATGGCAGTTTAAAATGTAGATTCATTTTAATTATTCTATAAATAATTGTTAATATTTTTAGATACTTCAAGATTCAAAGAACGGCCCTCATTCAGTGTTGATGGACTTCCCAAAGATATCTCGGCTAATGTTGCTTATAAACAAGCTTATCAGAAGTCAACTTTTAGCAGCCTCTTAGGAAGTTCTGGAGAAGCTTCCGTATATATTAATTCCAAATCCTTCCTCTCACGTGGACATTTATCACCTGACGCAGATTTCTTATTTGCTAGTTCCCAACTTACTAGTTATTTTTATGTCAATACTTGTCCACAGTGGTAAGATTTTTTATACATTTTTTTTTCGGTTCTGATTTTGAAAATAATTCTATATATTAAAAATAGGAAAATAATTTCAACTCAAATGTGACCAAGATGCAAAATAAAATAATTATTTATTTTATTTTAATGTTTTTTCCACAATCCTAGTGATCTCTATAAATTTCAAAAATAATAATAAAAGAAACTTTAATAATGATTAAAATTTTGCAAAAATAACATTCCTAATCAATATTTTTAAATTTTAAATACAAAAATAGTTATGAGAAAATAAAAACCTACCTACAAACCTTTAGATATTTTATTTATTTAAAAAAATTAAATACGTAATGCAAAAAAGCTGAAAATTATAATATTTTTTAATGTTGATATGTTAGAAAATTTTATTATTGAGATAATGTATGCACGACCTAAAATTCAAAATAAACTCTATAGCAAGGATGGATCCAGGACCTATTCAAGGAGGGAGAGGAGGGGGAGAGCAATTTACTGAATTCAAAGCCTAGGCTGATTTTTTCATTAGATTTCAAGAGTAAAAGGTAAGAAAGAGGCTTGGTTACGAAGGATTTTCAACAGGAAGGGGTGCTATATCCTCTACTGTGTGAAATGGTCCACTACAGCCTCATCAGCAACCGCAATAATGGTAGTCACTACACAATAGCGTAAGCGATGGTCTATGTCCATTCTGCAAACAGAGCATTTTGGGAACATATATTGCGAAAGAATGCAAGTAACTTTTAAAATTATAAAACAGTGGTGCAAGGACCATTCACTGTCTATCAATCCCAAGAAAATAGAAATTGTCCTTTCTTACTGCCTCAAGCGAACATGGATTCAATCTGAGCAAGAATTATCTTTCATAAGTCGCAAGAAGTTATAACAGCAAATACAAAAGCTGGAAATGGTAGGTACGATTCATATCTACACCGACCATTCTAAAACAAAACAAGACTCAGGATGTGAAATATACTCCAGATTCTTAAACCAACACAAAATAAGGCCGGTGAGCAGTAATGCTAGGTTAATTCAACCCGAGCTTACAGGAATTCTCATAGCAGTAGAAATCACCAGAAATAATATCATTGGAAGGAACATGCTGATCTATACAGATAGCAGACAAGCCCTACTATCTCTGAACTGACCACGAATTTACTCAGGGTTATTTTTAGAAAGTCACGAAGCTTTAGCCTAAGTAACCATCAACACATCCAAAGGTAACCGACCTGCTGATTTACTAGCCAAGAAGGCAGCCTTAATAAATCCTTTTTAGACCTGGCCGTTCTATTGGATTGACAACACTGGTAGTGACAAACCTAATTAAAGAACATTCCCTTGTGAAATTCAAGCAAGTATGAGATGAAAAAAGTAGCACACAAATATTTGACTATCTTTGCCTGATCACAGGCATTTTAACTGGTCATTGTCAAGTACAGAAGAACCTCAATATGCTTCTACTATTGCCCAACGCTCTTATTTACTAGAAGATTTGTGATTGATGAGAATTTACTAACACCGGCCGATACCAAAAAAGCACCTCTTGGCGACGTTGTCAACTACATTAAATCTTGAGGCTGGCTCATAAGCTAGAAAGTGCCTATCTACTTAAAAGGATGCACAATGGGCCTAGTAATGCCTAATTACCATAGGCTAACCAATCCTCCACACGTTACAGATACAGAAGGGTAAAAGCTATCAACTACTAGGATTATTAGTTTCGAGGAAAAGGATCCAACGGTGCTCTATAGATTATATAATTTTTGTACCATATACGAAGGAGGTAAAAAATGTGAATTCGATTCAGGAATTAAGTACTCTCATTTTTAAAAATAGAGAAAAATATTACTTGAAAATCAAAATGTATCTGTACTTTGCAGCACCAACAGATAAAGTAAACAGCATATGAAATTAGTTTCGACAAATTTTTTATTAATAGTTTTTATAGAACTAAGAAATCTTAGACTTCGTTGTTTCGTCTTGATACATTTGAGTTAAAAATATATTCATTTATGCCAGTCTTTCCTTTAGATATAATTCAATACCTGTTGCGGTATAGCCAAAGGAGTAGTTGTTTTTTGAAGCCACTCGTAATTTATGTGATATTGGCTTTTAGTTTTATTTATATTATTTTATTTTACGTCTTGATCATATTTATTTGAGTTTGAAATATTTTCCTTTTTAAAATTAATTTAGTTTAAATTCATTTTTTTAATGTTTCGTGTTTTTTTGATACAGACTTTTTACAACACTATGCATGTATATTTAAACAGTGGATAGTTGCGGCAGATTTAGGGATTAAGGATATTTAAATGAACATTAGCATCTCAATAAAACATTAAATACATTAATATTTATGTTTATTTGATTTATTTTTAATAAACAAGTTGATAATAAATTTGATTTTGTTCAATGAAGAAACTCTATTCAGTATTTTAAATAATTTTCGTGATATTCAACCAATAGAAAATATACCTAAAGTAATAATATTGTTTTTTGATAAAAACGCTTCTACCAAAAAATGTTTTTTCTAATTTTTAAAAATTTTGACGAAATGCTTAAAGGCAAAATAAATACAAAAATCTAAAACTTACATACGATGTGCTGTTCTACTGGATAAGTGGAGCTGAAACAAAAATTACTGACTTAAACATTTTGCAGCACACATGTATAAAATATAGGTAAATATTTTAAACCGAAAACCCTTAATTTTATTTGAATCTAGTAATGGTCTGGTACCTAATACTGTATATAACTCTAAATGTATTTTTAAAAAATATTACTGGGTTGATAAGCAATTATTTTTTTTATAAAATTAGATAATGACGAAGACCCCAAATAGAATTATCATAATTTAGGTAGCTTCCTGGAAAGCATGTCAAATTTAGGAAATAAAAATAACTTTATGGAAACTGACCAAATAAATAACCTAAGATACAGCAGCCACAAACAGGAACACCAGTTAAAAAATTGATGACATATGAGCTAGAAGCGAGCGTTCTCAACAAAGTTTTCTAACCACACAACCGAGAAGTCTCAGCCCATAATGAAAAACGTCTTACAAATATAGTAGACGATTCATACCAAATATGTCTTCCTGCCTAAAAGGTTAAAATGGCCGAAATCAAAGAAATATTTAAAAATCTAAATAATAAAAAAATACCGGGATACGATCTAATAATAGAACAAATACTTAAAGAATTACCTGAAAAAGCAATAAAACTATCTATATACGTATTCAATGCTGTTTGAAGACCGAGTTGCTTCCCTTCTCAATGGAAAGTAGCTCAAATAATTTTAATTCAATAAATCTTACATAACTAGGTATTTCAAAAGCTCTTTCTAAAAAGAATAGATATCGTTATATCCGATAACAATATTAAATGCAAAAAAATATTCGTAAACAGAAAATACTGCTTTTCTCGAAGACTTCTAGGTATTTGATAAGTTTTGTCATGTAGATCTAATATCAAAACTTATTAGACAAATGTACCTACAATCATATTTGACTAGCAAATCCTTTCAAACAAAAATATAGGATTTATCCTATCCATTCTGGAGTACCTCTATCTGAATTAGGGCGTGGTTCAAAGCCCATTCGTACTGAAGCTCTAGGATTATTGTACCCCTCACAGTTTATATCATATCATGAATTCAAGAATATGTCTGATGGGCGTCAGGTTCCGGATATTGTACCCGAAGTACCATTTCCGTTCTCATTTAAGGTTCCGACAGTGGCAGTAGTATGTGAAGAGGAGTTTAGTCCTCCTCTGCACATATTCTACAAAGGGAGTCATCAGATTAAGGTATTTTCTAAGGCCGCAGTATCCCGTAAGGAGTCATATTACGGCCTAGAGTTCGCTTCTGCTAAGGTTTAGCAGTTGATTTTGTCTGCTCGTGGATGGCCCCTCTATGAATCTTTTGGACTGTCTAAGTCCAGGAAGTTCCAACCAGAGCCTATGGTGTTCTCTATTTGTTTGCTTTTTTAACACCCATTTAACATGTTGGTACGAGATACCACATGTGGGTTCTGGTCCAATAAAAGTTTTTTTCGCTCCCTTCCTTGCTAGGAGGTCTGCTTTCTTGTTTTCAAACACTCCCTCATGTCCCGGCACCCAGTCAAGAGTGACCTTGTTATGTTATGCCAGGGCCTGGAGGGACTGTGGCAATCAAATATTGATTTGGAGTACCTCAAAAGAGTGACTTCAGACCCACATAATAGAGCATACATTCTATATAGAGCAGATCTACCAACTTTAGATAATACAAGAGTTGCAACTTATGCCGACGATACTGTCATATTATTATTAAGTTCCGGCAGTAGCTTCCCAGATACTACACACTCATCTGCGCATAGTTGAAATATGGTATAAACTATAAAGAGTCAAAAACAGTACTACACAACGTGAAATATTTCGGGATTCATCTGGGTAGCATGAAGTAAGCATATATGGAACAAAAGACTAGAGCTGAGACTTATTTATAGAAAAATGTATTGGTTTATGAAACGTAACTCGCATATCAGCTTGGCTGATAAACTGCTTTGGACGGATGGAATCCAAATTTGGGAAACTGCTAGTGATTCAAACTTGGAAAATATACAAAGAATAGTCTGCAATGGTCCTTGGTAAATAATCCAAATATGTAAGCTAGAATCTCCCAATTTCTCCACATAACAAAAGACTTAAAAGACTCCGATGGACCTTAATAATATTAGAGCATAAATAGATGTTAAAAAAATATTCACCATTGGGTGTATCTGTATCTGTAACGTGTGGAGGGTGGGTTACCCCCAAGGCACTTAGGCCTTATTAGGCCCATTGTGCATCCTCCTAAGATGATAGGCATCTTCTAGCTCGTGAGCCAGCCTACAGATTTGATGTAGTTGACAACGTCGCCAAGAGGTGATTCTCTTATATCGGCCGGTGTTAGCCGATACTCGCCGAACACAAATCTTCTAATAAATGAGAATGTCGAGCAATCGTAAAGGATATGCTTGATGGTCT